GTCTGCTGTTGTATATAAAGTCAGTGGGTTAAATATACAGTTCTCTTACTGACTAAGTAATCAGACTTTTAATACGTTATTTTCTATATATGAGTTCATCGAAAACATTTCTACCTCGACTTACAATCAATGAATTAAAACATGTTATAGTGGTGTATATAATACTTCCAAATATCCACTTTAGGATGTACCGGTTAAAGTAATTGTAGACTTGCTGACTTTTTAAACCTATATTTCTTTCCTCAAGAAATTACCGAAAGTGGAGTTTTGGCTTTTTGAAAACATATAAATGATGGCAGTTATAAGACACGGGTATCATTTTGATGGTTTACTGATCATTTAAAGTGGATTTCGGAACGATATTCTTCTCTAAAGGCTTCAGGTATATGTATTACTTACAAAAGGAGTTTATATATAACCTTTCTTAAATGGGTTTTTCTCTGGAAAAATATTCATACATGCACCATAAAAAATGTATTCTCGTGTTTAAATTTCAGGGTTTATTTTGGCTGACTAATTTTTCAGCGTAGAACTTTGTTTAAAAATGCATCAGTCCAAGTTGCCAAACTTCGTGAGAGCAGACTAAAAGTAGTGAATAAAATACAAAGAAACCATAATAAACGGAAATTAATGGCCTAAAGAGCAATTACATGGAGAATCATGGTCATCATAGAGAATGCATTCATTTACTCCACTAAAAGCAATTTCGTGCCATGCAAATTCACAACCTCCTCGATTAACTTTCTCTCCTTACCTAACTCCAATATTACTCACCATACTATACGGCTTAACACAGAAAGAACGCAAACACCTCTGATCAAAGACAGCTAGCCTCTTCATATCTTCCACCTTCAATGCCAATGTCCTACAGTCGTAAAGGAGAATAGAGAAAACGTCTGTTCAGTGCACGCATCATTTTATAGATGGTCGGATATTATGTCTATGCCAGAGATAACGTAATTTCTCAGATGCTAAACGAGCCTATTGTATCCATTTTCAAAATTCGTCTATAATTAGTCCATTATCTCTGACGCAACCTTCCAAATGTATTAACTGTTCAGTAAACTCAACTACTTCACTTCCTACCTCTAAACTAGAGTCACTTTTGGGTAGATCCCATCGTCTTGCCACATAATTTTTTAAAAGTTCAAAACTAGGCAAGCACTGAACTTCTTTCCATCACAAGTACCCAATGTCTAAGGTTTCGTAATGTTGGTGTTAGGTGTTCGATAAAACTTAGTCTGTACCTTATGTCTGAAACTATTCGTTGCAAGCTGTATTTGATGCAATTTTTAGTCAGTCACAGTGAATCAAATGTACTCATATTTTACTCCCACTTTAATTTTAGTATCATATTTCCTTACCCACTCTTTTTCTTAGTTCCTCGATGTTCATACAGTCTAACTGATATCTTTTATCTCTGTCTTTTCGCACATTACTTTGTACTCGATGTTCAGTTGATATGCGATATATGTTCAGCACTATCTACTAATGTTAGATCAGCTATTCCTAGGTACTGCAATTTCCATACTGTAAGAGATTTTCACGTAGTGAGTTGTTTAATTAGTGAATGGTTTTGTTGATTACTTCACTTTTTTAGTAATAAATATAACGTCTATCTAAAAGTGCTTACAGTTCCCTTTCTCAGTGCAGAAGGTTAGGCAATTATAGGTCTTCAATTTTTACTTAAAATGTCTATACAAATCAATATAAAATATGATATCGTTACCACTAGAAAAAAGGGGGTCATTGACTGACTGGTTCCAACGTAGAACGAGAAGAGAGTAAAAGTAGGTTCAAAAGAGAGATAATAAACAGAAGTGTGAAGCAAAAAGAATGGTATTATGGTAGAACAATATAATTTTATTGGGTATTATAAGTCACAAGGAGTGGATGCATCTGCGCCAACCATTGAGAACGATTTTGAGCCATATCACCGATTTTCTGCAGCCATTGGTTTTTGCCATCCGTAGGACCCCAACCAGGAAGTTTACATCATCCTACGTGGCTGGCTTAAACTAACTGTTGTGGGTTTCATTGACTGATGAAGCCATGATTTGGTTTGACCACCACTGGCTCTTTTCCAACCTGATGATATGTCAGCTAACATTGCCCGTCGAGGAAGGCGATGGCTAGGGTTGTATGCGTAACACATGTCCTAACCACCTCAATCGGTGTAACTTCACAACCTCGTCGATTGACTTTCCCTCCTTATCTAGCACTAGACGCTTAACCTCGATAATACTCACCCTATTATGCCTCGTAACACAGCAGATAGAACACAGGCACCTATGATTGAAGACGGCTAGCCTTTTAATGTCTTTCCAATTCAGTGACCATGTTTCACAGCCGTAAAGGAGGACGGCGCAAACTGCTGAGCAGTATACACGTCTTCTGGTTGACAGTCGGATATCACGTCTACGCCAGAGGTGGTGTAAGTTGACAAATGCTAGACGAGCCTTGTGTATCCATGCTAAGATTCTGTCAGCGATCAAGGGATCATTAGTCCAAAAACAGTTTTACTACATTTAATAAAACCATTTCCATAAGCATCGAGTGCTGGATAAGGAGGGAAAGTCAATCGACGAGGTTGTGAAGTTACACCGATTGAGGTGGTTAGGACATGTGTTACGCATACAACCCTAGCCATCGCCTTCCTCGACGGGCAATGTTAGCTGACATATCATCAGGTTGGAAAAGAGCCAGTGGTGGTCAAACCAAATCATGGCTTCATCAGTCAATGAAACCCACAACAGTTAGTTTAAGCCAGCCACGTAGGATGATGTAAACTTCCTGGTTGGGGTCCTACGGATGGCAAAAACCAATGGCTGCAGAAAATCGGTGATATGGCTCAAAATCGTTCTCAATGGTTGGCGCAGATGCATCCACTCCTTGTGACTTATAATACCCAATAAAATTATATTGTTCTACCATAATACCATTCTTTTTGCTTCACACTTCTGTTTATTATCTGTCTCTTCTCGTGCTTTGTGTGCTCTATGGAGTGTGGCAACTTGAAGAGATGCACGTTTGTGCAAAGTTCTACGTTGAAACCAGTTAGTCAGTCTATAGATTACTTTTGTTGTTTCCTTTGATAAGCAAATGTGTATATTTTCAGAATACCTAGATCTTACTCATCTGATATTAGGAAACAGTAAATATTTATGAAAATGAACTAGAAAGGAACAGATTGTATCTTAATGAAAATCTATATGTTCCTTATAATTTTGTCAGAAAATTAAATAATTAATTTGGCATGATTCATGAACAGACGTCGAATCGTACGAAGAAGCGCATGAACTAGTGTTGACACTTAGGTAAAGCTTACGAAATAAGAGAACATGAGTAGATTGGTACTACTTCTACTGCAGGGAAAATAATTAATAGAAGAATACTGAAACTTTCTAGGATCTTGAAGACGACTAAAGATGTGAATACATCTTCGGGTTATCGTTAGTAGACTTATTCAATAAAATAATAATAATATTTCAGTAATGAAGTTGGTGAGGACGGAGCAGTAGGTAATGTCTTTTGCTGATATTTATTTATTTTATATTTTAAGTGACATGATGAAAAACGTCAAAGACCACCAATATTGGTTTGTTACACTGGTATTTGATTAAACCAATGCAAATGTAATTTGACATTTCAAGCTTATATGAATCATTGTCCACTTTAAACCGTAGATAATAATATGATTTATGTAAAAGTAACATAGGTGAAATAAACAAATCTTCATTCAAAAACGTTTTATTGTAGTTGGCGTTATCCAACAGGGATGCGAATGATTGGTCACTGTAGTACATCTTCGTTAAAAAAGTTCTGTTGATAAAGTCAGAGATTTGACCATTTTTTGTTGTTGATTGATTTGATCTTATAATGCATCATATCTGACTGCTCTTTTATGTATAATCTTATATCTGACCGAATTCATGTAATTGTGAACATCAACTTCTGATTTCTTTATCTATCGTAACTTTGTTGGATTGTATAAGTTTTTACAGTAGTCTTTGTTATTTCACTAATGTTATCGGTGATAGGCAAACATTTTCAACATCGACTGTAGCATAAATGCAATACAGTTCAAGCTGCCACACTTTACTTCAACACATCAAGTCATAGAAGGGAAACAAGGCAATGGAAAAATATTAGAATTCGTAGAATTCTATTGGCAAATAAGATAGATAAAGCTAAGTAAGTGATGTTGTATGGTGTTACTACTTAGATGAAAGGGGCAGATGGATGCAACCGTCCCACTGAGTTTGGTTCTTAGAGTTACTATTATTACTATTATTCTCTAGTCATCGCCTTCATTTTCAGCAGGTTACAATTATCCACATATCTCTAAACTAACGATGAGAGACTTTTCAGACTGATGTTATTTCTTGACCCAACTACTCCCAACCATTTAAGCAGTCTATATGCCGCTTTTGAACAGGTAGTGATTTAGACGTAAGCATAACAACTTGAAATTTCAAAGTAGCACACAGGGAAGGCATATGTTAACACGTCTTTGTTCTTCACGATGTTTCTGCATTTTAAGCTTAAATGTGTAATTGTATAATCACTGATTGATAATAATCACGCTTCCCTTGTGAAGTTAATATAAAGCTAGGTACTATTATAACTATACACACAATGAGTAGCGTCCATTGCTAAATGCATATGATCGATGAATTAAATCCTTCTTTTTCATTGGTTGTATATACTATTTTCAACTTGGTTTTAGAAGTAAACCAGTTAACCAAAACAGTTGTGTGTCAGAAAATTAGTATGCTTTTATTTTTATAATATTGACCGTAGATTGGAATATTGAATTCCTATTGGTTTGTTTTCAATGAAACTTGTCTCATGTGTTCTATTTTCATTGGTTTACAGGAAATATTTATATACTTCATTCGTTGGATAAATTGACCAATCGCTTTATGTATATATATATATATATATATATATATATTCCTCGACTCTACACGTTTCTTTTTTTATTCAGATTTCTGTAAATGTCAATGGTGGATAAAGGACTTGTATTAGTAACCGGCGGTTCTGGTTTCATTGGTAGTCATACAATTGTGGAACTTATTAATGACGGTTATGACGTCATTACACTGGACAATTTAAGTAATTCAAATCAAAGTAAGATTTCCTTTACATTGCATACATTTTAGAAAAAAAAATATTTTATTCCATATATTGTGATGAATGCATTAACTGTTGAATAATAAACACCGGAATAAACCTTTCTGTGCTTATTAGTTTATTAATTTGATCTAGTGATAGATAACTGTCTGAACATTATGTTATGTGATTAAAGCTTGAGCAGTTATATTATATTATGTACATTAAAAAACAGCATATTTTGACATTACTGCTATTGTCTCATTTTATACTTCATTTATTATCAAACTTATTTCACTATCCTTAAGCATATTGTTCAATTAGTGTATTTTCAGTTTCCGTTATTCATTTGAAAGACGACATTTAATTGAGAAAAGTGCAGTTTCCTCTGAGGCTGAGGGTTTGAAACTTTCTATTTTAGAAGCTATAAAAATTGACATTAAGACAAATGTTATTTGTTTTGTAACTATTAAATTTACTACCACTTTCCCACTGGTTTTGTTGTATCGTCAAATATTAGGAGATCTATGTGTCCGATCCCCTACTGATTAAATATTAACATTTCAGGACTTCGTAGTATTGTCCCACTTAGCCAAGTATTTTACATATTGTCAACTTTTGGTTTGTATTTATTTGATCGATTTCAGGATTTCGTTATGAGCTGATTTCGGTTTGAGAACCATTGGAAAACTAGCTGGGAGTACTAGACAGCTGTTTCGTCAGCCTAGTTTGGGACTCTGCTTCAGCAGTATGCACCCATAGCCTTCTGGTTACAAGGTGATTTCATAGACCATTAAGCCACTGGGACCCGATCCAATGTCCAGCCCATCGATTCCAACTTCTGCCAATTCGTGATATATTTAGCGCAACCGCCAGTCAGTGTCACTGACGAGTAACTGTCCTCTTGCCTGATTTGGTGGACCCTGCCGGTTACAACTTCTTACATGTGTTTTATGGATACTGATGAGTTAGTGAAACCTAACTCTTAAAGCTCTGAGCATTTCATTCAAATGCACATATTTTTCACACAACAACTAATCCGTTGTCTTTAATATCAACGCACATTCTACCCTACATCTTACATATCAAGTGTTGGCCATTATATATTAGGTGGAAGTATTGTTGATTATCTGAAGAAATCGTACTCATTACTTTAGTTCTGCTGCAATGTCAGATAAAATAAAACAATTTGGTTAATTCAGTTACCTTGAGACATTAGTAGCTTGTTTTATGTGAATCTGTAAATAAAGAGGTCACTAGAAATGTTTAGTTTATTTTTATTTTTCTATGATGATAATAGTTTCTTTATTAAGATATATTCTTCACCTCTTTTAATAAGGTGAAAAAAACATAATAAAATGGATAAAAATAGTCCATTGCACTTCTGTAGATTTTGTTCAGCATAAACAAAAATTTATAGATTAATCAGCCAATTGAATTAGTGATATTAGTTATCGATTAGTTCAGATATTCATGTTGCACTTCCCAATGTTTTTTATAGTAACTTACGGTTACCTTATTATACTGGTATGTGAAGTGAAAAAAAAGTGTACTGTGTAAATTTCATTTGAATTATTGCATTCAGAACTTATTGAGACAAAAACGAGTGTGAAATAATTTCAGTCTATTGAATTACAAAAGAAGCGTATTCAGAGCCACCACATGATAGAGTAAAAAAACAACTTGTTTCTCCAAATGAAGTCAAATGTTGAGCTAACTCAAGGGTTATAAATAATGACGATATAATGGAGTTTATTAAGATATATTTATGATTGATTGGAGGATTTCATTATGAGCTGACATCAGTTAAAGAGTACTGGACAGCTGTTTCGTTCTAGTTTTGGACTCTTCAGTAGTACGCACCCACCACCAGGGTTCGAACCCAGGACCTTCTGGTTACAAGGCGAGCTCGTAGACTACTAAGTCACTGGGACCCGATCCAATGGCCAGCCCATGAATTCTAACTTCTGCCAATTCATGAGTTAAATATGTAATAGCTTGTAATTTTGAGAATAACACTGAGAAAGAAGTAAAATGAGGATGTTATCTGAACAAAATACAAATTCGTACAGACAATAATTACACATTATATTCGAAGTAGACTCGTCTCTGTTTTGTGTTACTTCTTCGATTGTCTTTAACTTGTCAACTCTTTACTTGTTGGCTACGTTCATATTAATATGTTAAGAAGCATTTGACATGTGCTTGTCATGAAAGCTTTACTCTCATCAACGTTATCGGCGTGTGCTAACAGCTTTGAATTAAAACAAAGCAGATGTACAACGCTTCCTGCTTTCTCTTCAATGGCTTTCTAGCTGATCTCATTCTGCGACAAAATCTCTCCTTTGAAACAACACATGAAATTCATACAGATAAAACATTTGATGAGGCATAGTTATTTTTACCACTACTGTAGTGGGATTTATAAACTGTTCACTTTATCATAAAAATGAATCTGAGTATTTCGATAGGACTCCTTTTAACTGCATTAGGGAAACCGAAAGAATACTGAAGTTTTTGATAACCGTGATATTTAAAGAGTAACTGAAGTTCCGTTAAATTCTGTTATAATGAGAAAATTACTGATGTAATACAAGTTCTTAATTTCATCAGTAGTCTTTAATGAAAAGAAACGAGATGGTTGTAATTTTGATGCTATTGAATGTATTACAGTCTTCTATCTGGTATCTGCAATGGTTTTTGAAGTTCTGTAAGGCTTTTAACATTTCCAAATCATAACGAAGATACCATTGAATTTAGTCATCTTATGTATGATCATGAAAGAAAACATGTTATTCTGCTTCACTATTCATACTTTCACTTCAGCTTATGAAACAGATGCTATTTGTTAAAATTAACATTAGCCAGATTTAGTTATGTGTGTGTGTGGGGGGGGGGAGGAGAAAAACATTCGGTTTCTTTTACTGTAGTTTTTTTGTGAAGACATGTAGTATTCTCTTAATTCATACTACTTATATTTCTACCTGACCGTTTAGGTGAGGTTCAATGAATTGGTACGATGTAGTAACATCAAACATGGTTCTAATTCGAAAAGCCTAATGTACAAAAAATGAAGTGCGAACAGTTCTTGTATGAAGCTGGTATTTCTTTGTAGTAGGTGATTTTGCCTTTTCAATATATTCAGAGCAGTTATTATGCTTCACTTAGTCCCTTCTTCACACCTTAGTGCATCGAAATGTCTCTTCTTTAAAAATTCAGACTAATAAAGGATAGATATCCTAGTTCATTCATCACTTCCTTTTGATTGGCATTGAAATAATATAGAAAATGATTAAAATTGAGAAATATTTTGTTTTTCTTTTATCTTCGTTACTCCCTTGTTTCCAGTAATATCTAACTGATGTTACTGCTTGATTAAATCTACATTGAAATTAATCTGAATCCCTACAAAAATTTCGTAATCTGAATACCAACAGTTATGCTTAAAAATCAACAGTAAACCATTTGGGAAACCCTATTCAGTTGTAATTAAGTTCCCTTTCTGTGCTTACAGTGTTTGCTCTTTCTCATTTTCAGATTGCATACAACGCATTGAACTAATCACTGGAAAAAAACTTCCTTTTTATAAAGTAAACCTGTTAGACAAAGAAACGTTGAATGATATCTTCGATAAAGTATGTTCTCCATAGATTTATATTTATATATTGTTCATCCATTATATATATATATATATATATATATATATATATATATCCATTTAAGACGTGTAATCAAGCGGTCATTGTCTTGTTAATCTTTTATTGTAAGACAAGAAGGTGTGTACGAGTCTAATTGCTTGCTAAAATTTATATTCATATCCTCAAGTTTCACATTATGCATTGTACACTCGATGGTTGGACTTTTGATATTCGTATACTTTCTTTCATGTATTCCGTGTAAACTGGTTATAAGAAGATTAGGCTTTAAGAAATAAATTGTACCTGAAAGTTATAAATTGTTATTACTGGAAATATATGACTTGGTCAATAGTTTGTACTGATGAAGAGTCCCAAACTAGGACGAAACAGCTGTCCAGTACCCCCTGCAGGTTTTGCAATGGCTCTCTAACTGATGTCAGCTCATGATAAAATCCTCCAACCAATGAATCGAAATTCCCTATAAAACCAATACTTGAAAATCATTAAATTTGTTAACGCGTAATGGCCAGTGAACTGGGTTACTTACCAGCAAACTAAACAGCATTGAATTAACTCTACCTCAGACCAGTCAAAGGTTGACAGCTGAATACATAAATCTATGAAGATAGTGGGCTATAGTTTTCTTCACGAAATTCTGACTACGTCTACCTAGTAAGGCCTAGCCATGATGTGTTGACGCAGAACGAGAAGGGGGAATGGGAATCTGTAGTGTTCGTCTCCTGATCGAGGGGACACTTGAGGTTCATTCTGGTTCAAAATAACCAATGCATATAAACTCTACAATCGGAAGAAAATAAATGGTACATATACCTCTTTTGGACATGAGCAGCACTGGTATTGCAGCTGATGACAATACTCTTTTACTTCGGGATCAGACCTGAAGTCTAAGGCTCAGATAGTCGTTGTCTTGTGCACCGAAATCTCCTGATCCATGTATCAGTGCTTAATTGAAAATTAGTTTTTATTTAACTCAAATAAAGGCGTTAAAAATCCAATGATAACAACAACAATAACAAATACATAATAATAGTTATTATAATTGCTAGCATATTCCACTTGCCCTCAATGTTTCATTATAAACTTTTTTCTCTAATCTCTCTTTTCAACAATGCATTATCTGCAGGCCTTGTTTAATTCATCAGTAAATCAATGTTGTATTTGTTAGTTACGAGAATTACTAGAATATTCTTTTTGTTATTAATCAATAGGAATAAAGCAAGATATTAAATACCTTTTATATATATACTGCTCTTATTGATTTTTTAAATAAACACCAAGTGTTAGCGTTTTAAGTACGTACACTTATACGATGATTATCTCATAACTGTGCTTTTTGAAACATTAAACTGTAAATATTAATCATATTTCCCTTACTTGTGAAGCCGCATCAGCCCTAATTGACTAATTGTTGACGAAATCTCAAGATGGATACAAAAGGCTCGTGTGCCTTTTGCCGACTTACATCATCTTTGCCGTAGACGTGATATTCAGCTATCCACCAAAGGACGTGTGCACTTCACAGCAGTTTGCTCTGTCCTTCTTTGTATCTGTGAAACATGGCCATCGAAAGTGGAAGATATCAAAAGGCCAGCTGTGTTTGACCACAAGTCTTTACGTCCTGTCTTCCGTATTAAGTGGTATAATATGGTGAGCAGTAGTCAGGTTAGGTGCAGAGTGCTAGATAAGAAAGGGAAGCCAACCGATGGTGTTGTAAAGTCATATCGATCAAGATGACTAGGACACCTGTTGAGCTTCCTGAACCACTGCCTTCCTCGATGGGCAATTTTAGCTAGCTGACATAGGATTGGGCTGGAAAACAGTTAGGGGTGATAGACGAAAACGTGGGATCAGTCCATGAAGTCTTTGACAGTTGGGGAGGTGTAGGCTGCCTGTTTGGGGCACTTGGGATTCTAAGAACTCATGGCTAGAGACTATTAGTGATATGGTTCAAAATCCTTCTCAACAGCGTAGATGCATTCAGTCTTTGTGATCGCTCATATTCACCAAACCGTCGTGTTTTTCCAAGTCACTCTCTTTTTCTCCCCGTACATTCCTGCCTATTATAGTTTTTCTGAATCTCTTTTGTTTTCGTTTTTATGTCACAGGGAGTGTGACAACTTAAACTGCTGCTCAAAGTTCTATGTTGAGACTTTGTCGTTCAAGTGAAAATGTAACACAGACCCAGGTAGCAATATCATTCGTATCATTAGTTGCTTTTGTGTTTCAGGACGCAAGCTGTATTGACGAAGAACTTGTTGAAATTTTGTTCTGACCTAGGTTTCTCTCTGCATTGTAATCGTCACTTCGCCCACTACTTGGAATGTTTCAATAATAGCTAAGTGTATTCAATGTTAACTTACAGTAGGCACTATTGCTCGGGAAGTGTATATGAGTCATAGTTGAAATCTTATAGCTTGGTTGAAACATTACTGGTAAAAACACTACTGTCGCCACAGTAAGGCGAGTGAATTTATGTAGTGCTTTTAAACCCAGAGTTTCTATTTCAGGTACCGAGTCGCCAATAATTTGGCTATGTACAGGTAGCGTATTCGAAGTTTTTTGGTGAGATATTGTGGAACTCTTTCTATTACTTTGAAGCACTCATGCTGGATTACACGATGTCCACAGTTGACTCCCAGTTTTCTTTTTTTTCTCCTCTGGTTAGCTAATTTGGACAGTGTTCCGGAATACATTTGAAGTATTGACGTTGTGTACGTTGTACACACTTTGCTACACAGGAACGAGTAAACTGAATAATACATACTGAGATAACCAAGAGTGGTATCTTATCCTTAATGATTGACTGGTTTAACTGTCTGCTGAAGAATGGATTTCATAAGGTGGCTACCTAAAATGTTTCCTTCAAACATTTGGGAAGGCGGTTTGTAAGGATCTCTGCTTCAGTGTCATTTTTGAATTATAAATTCATAAAGACAGGTTCCTGAGGAACAGTGGCAATTATCGGCAATAGAGCCTTTTATTTAACGTTTTTGTTGATAAATCTGGGTGTATATCTGTCCTCCAGTAGGGTGTCACGTTATTTTAATTAAAATCCTATCGGATCTACAGAGCATATTTTTCGAATCCTTGAACATAAGGTACGTACTAGGTTTTGCTTTCAGATCATTGGGCCGAAGCTCCGGACATTAATAAACTGTCAAGTTCATGTAGGTTTGCGGTATGATTATCTTTCGATTGAGTTGTTTTGTCTTCTAGGGTGTAGCATATCCGTGAATGGAAACGGCATGTTTGATTCACGTTCTAGAGTGAATCTATTGAAGAGTGTGTCACGTTGAAAGTGTTGAAGAGATTGCCTAGATCACATTTTGCATCACGAGTTATAAAAGTATCATCTGCGAATCTTTTGTAGAAGTCAATCGACTGTTTTATGTGAGCAGTTTACCGTCTTTCTGCTAGATTTTTTCCATTTTATACAATTATATTGACTAGTTATTTTTCACACTTACTATGCCATTTCAAACTCTACCTCTTTTTTCTTATCTCCAACTTGTCATCCCCTTCTAGACTACACTTCACATTAGTTTTATAAATTTTTTGTTAAATATAAATACTGTTGTACAGCTCTGGAAAATTATTCGTTGGAAAGAAAATTTTCTTCGCTGTTCACGTCTTCTTTTTCTTGCTGATTATACACTGATTTATTTTGTTACTAAGTGACAATAACACTGCCGTCTTTCGTCGACTAACATTGTGTGTATAAAATCCACTAAATAACTGTACTGCTTTGAAATGAAGTGACGAAAAGAGAGCTCTTTGATGACTTATATGTTCATGATTACAGAACAGAAGTATTACTTTCTATGATTTATTCCTTACTTTGAGTATGATTATTAATATTGTGTTGGTGTGATACAGAAAATGGGTTCCAACAGAATATTATTCTCACAGTAAGAATCATTGTATTTGTTGGTGTTAAAGTCTGAATACTATTCCAACAGTTCACTAGTGCATTAGCCACAGAATGCTTCATATATTTGAACATTCTATTTCATGTCGGTTAATGTAAACCGAAATCACAAGCTTAGTGACTGGTTAAAGAATATAAACTGCATAGATATAAAAAGCTGTTTCATAACTTGAAAATATACCTTAGCTTCTGTGTCTTGCCTTCTGCTGTTACAAGATAACAATTTCTAGGTAAATATACCAGCTATTCCGTTATCGAATGTTATTCGAGAAATGTCCTTACTGCACTATCTGGCGTAGTTTTTAACCTTTCTCACTTGTCATCCACCTTATTAACAGATGATTTAAATGTTTTGTGAAATTACTGTTAATTCTTCATTGCATTGCTAACTCTGTTTCTTAATTTCACTTTATTTCTGTGTTAGGTCACCTTCACTGAGCAACACTCTGTTGTGACCAAATTTTTTGTGAAATGTACCCTTTGATACTGGTACGCCATGAGCAGATTATAATCGCCTAATGATGATATAAATATGTCCCTAGTACTTCTCTCGCGCGCACTGATGTTAGTTATGGAGCATTCTAAGTAAAAGATGCATATTAGGTGACTGAAGTCATTGAGTCATGCTTCATTACTGTCAAATAAGCGTCTTTCTGAACTAATTATACTAGTTGAATAGAGATTAAGTTGACAGAAAATTACGAGTATTAATACGAAACTATAGAACTTTCGACTGGTAGTTTGAGCCATGCATGGATGCATATATTGTTCAAATAGAGGCTTCAAAATTATCATAATTAACTGTTTTATTTATCCAAACCACCATCGATACTTTATTTTCTTATCCATTTTTATTTACAGTATACAAATCACTTCTATTTAAATGTTAAATTTGGTCAACACTTGCGAATTAGTGTTAATTCATAAGACATTTTTACAAGATTTCCATCTGAATATTTCTACGTACTGTTTGCATTCTGAACAACAGAAATATCAGTCAATTCGCATGTCTGCTATACTTATTCATTACTTCATTGTCTTTTGTGTTTTTAATCGAATAATCATTATCTATTATTAGTATCGTCCATATTATAATGTTTTATAGTTAATTGTATTCCAGACTGTTACATACATTTACTTCTTGTTTTTATTCTGTTACAATTACTTATATCTAATGGTCAGAAAAACAGATTTCTCTTTTTTATCGCTAATATTCTCTTCTTTATAATGTTTAGCATAAAGTCGACTATGTGATTCACTTCGCTGCTTTGAAATCTGTGTCAGAATCAACGGAACAACCATTACAGTATTATGAAAATAATGTTGTGGGTTTACTGAATTTATTAAGGGTTAGTTGATTTTATTACATTTATTAATTTAACTAATAACATTTATGAGCCACTGTTCCTTGTTTATATGACATTGAGACTAGGTCACATGAAAATTATGCAAGATTTCTCAGTAATATTGGCGTTCTTGTTATTGTATTGTCATATGAGGACTTGTAAATGGTATCCTTTGATTTTGAAAAACATAGTATTGTTGACTGGAAGCCTTTTTTTGTTTCTGGACGTGTTCTTGGGTTTAGATTAATATTTTTCTCCCCTTATTTAAATAAAAGTTGTGTATATTGGAATGCTTTTCTGGCATTATCCATAGTCAGTGTATATGCGCGATTACTTGAGCTTATCTGCGCTGACTAGTAACATTTATGTGCGACAATCTTTGGCTCGTCGGTTTAGACGCTCCATTTCCAGCTGTTTGGTTACTAGTTCGGTTCTCTCGATTTCCTTTTTTAAGCAGTAGAATTGGATTGCTAAATTGCCTACAACAAGTATGCTGAACTACCTAATATATTGAATCGCAATACATTTTATTTATTGACTAATGAATTTAGTATTATGTGTTTCAATATCACTTGTCTTTGCAACCCAGTAATTCTTTCACTTTCAATTTACAGTTGATTCACTCCCTCGCTTTAAACTGTTTATTTGTTTTACCATTTGAGATGAGTAGCCTACTTTGAAAGCTCATCAGATCGTCACTCATAGTTTTGGCTGTGCCATTTTACTCAAAATCAATTGACAATTATTTTTTTCCTATTTAGGTGATGAAATCACACCGTGTTAAGAATATTGTTTTCTCCAGTTCAGCCACCGTTTATGGGGAGCCTCAGTTTTTACCATTAACTGAAAAACATCCTATAGGCAATTGTCAAAATCCATATGGTGGTACAAAATTTTGCTGTGAAGTTATTCTAAAAGTAAGTCATTTTCCTAATATTAACCTTTCATCCTCCTTTAATTTATCGAGATTACTTTTCATTTGAATTACGAGTGATGTTTAAATAAGTGTATCAAGATATAATATCGATTTATCAATCAATTCTTATCCCTAGAAGTAGGATCTCGGCGGTAAGACTCTCACCAACTACACAAGTGGTCCGGGGTTCGATCCCTTCTTGACGCACCGCTTAACCCCGCTAAATTGTTAGTAAGTCCGATAAAGAGGGAATGTTAGGCGGGAAGCTGGCAACCCCTCCGACCCCATAGAAATAAAACCACTGCTACTGGAACTTCGAAGCGCTACGCTGAAGCCCAATGTTCCGCTGGGAACGTAAAGGTGTAAATAGACGTACTATAATCAATTATAAAATCTGGGTCTTTGAAATTTTCACTTAGTTTTTGTATGGTAATCTGCCATTCTCAAAAACTGCCATATCGCCTACTCGAATCCTCGTCAGGCCGTAAGTACGTTATCAATAGGAATTCTAAAGTAGCAGCTCACTAAAGTTTATGTTACAGGTGACTAAATTCCACTAAAATTAACAATTCATTAAAACTGGTGTTTGTAATACTAGTCACACTGAATGTTGCAATTAGTACAAATTTCATTATTATCCTCTTTTGTCTACTGATTTCAATTAAGAGTGAATCAATTCTTTGAAAAATATTCATCGTCATCCATACAACTGTGACTACTCAAACCTCCTGCTGAACTGACGATAGCCAATGGTGTATATCAGGGGTATTCAATTATGTTATAGATACAGTTATGAAAATAATACGTAAATGTAAAATACGTAGATTCGACCTTCTAAATCAAGTCATTTTGGATACATAACTGATTATTTCAGGTTCTAACGAGCCAGATGTACCATTAGACTCATCTCGCTCTCTTTCTGTCTTGTCCAAATGGTTCACTGTGTTCTTATTTTTTACATAATGGTCTCGTTATAATTTAATAAGAATCTGAATATTCCAAAATGGGACACGAGATTAGATACCCCTCAAATGGAACAGTCGGTAAGAATTTAATCTTCATACTGACAGATGCAGTCTTTTCAGACAAACAATCACTACGAAATATTTCAAAACGTTAAGTTCGTCATTCATCAAAAAACTCTAGAAGCTCATCTCATTTGACAGGATTGTAAATGATCAGGTCAGAGGAATCATCAAAAGGATTGGGGTTAGATTTACACATAATTCCATTATTTCGAAATTGTAATCTCTAATATCAACTTATACATGTTAAATATGTCAAGACTATGAATGCACTCCAGACTACTAGCTGTTATCTGTATGCCTACTTTTTGGTTGTTAACCTGTTTATTCATTGTCAGTTTAGTACTTTCTGACTTAGTGTTGAATGGTTCACACGTTTACAATGAGTAAGGATTTTTTTTTAATTCTATCAGTCGTTTTTAAAAGGTTTTCGAAAAACATTGTTTTCAGTGTTAATGGATAAATTTTGGATGCCAGTCAGATACACTGTCCATTTGTTCAGCTTGTGAAACTACCTTAATTTTGGTTTTTAAGGTAGTAAAAGCCTGTCTATCTCAGCCGGGTATTTTTTAAAAACTTTCTCTTAGTTGAATTCAAAAGACTTGGATTTCTCAGAAAGCGTTGTCATAGAGGTGATAGAGCAGTTAACAATTCTAAGTAGTGCACCTGGTGAGAGTTTGATTGTCTCTAAAGCGAAAAAAGTTTTTGCATTTGAAGAAAAAATTTTATCCCTAAGAACGATCGCACGGGTGGAATGTGCGATTTTGGCGACCAATGTTTTCTACTCTTTCCTTCTTGAAGGGGGAATCCAGCACATCTAAACTCTTGCGTGTCTGAGGAAAACATCTGATTGTGGCCACAGCTCTTTTTGTCAACAGTACCATTACACCTTCAAAATCCCGTCACAACTGAGGCCGCTTACGCTATGACAATAACTGTTTTTAGTCTAACAGTAATGTAGTCGGTTTTTCTAGAATTATAGGATATATGCACAAATAACTGTCAGGTTCATGATATATGCAGCTCTGATAAATGCATCAATATGGCAGCTGTCCACATGAGAAGAATGTGTTTGTGTTTAGTAAGTACCTTGGAAGTCATTTTCATCCAAGTGAAGTTGTGGTGAGAGCTGGCTACTAGCCGAAATCGGTAGACAGTATTTTACGTCAATGTTTATGTCCCCAATATTGGTCATGAGAAAAATATGAACAAAGACTGATTCAACAACCAACCACAGCAGATTTTGCTTAGGCAGATACAGTTAGCATATAGATGATCTGACATTAAAGAAACAGCCACAAAGAGATGATAGATTAACTTTCAGTGAGAAACAACCAATCAGAAGACTGTGCTTTTCTGCTAACAATAATCGATAATAATGTACATGAAAATCTATAAATATGTGTTGATTTCCTTAATAAACGATCTGTTGCCTGGCCCTTGTCTTCTGTCGTTACAAAGTGAATAAGGTGTTTTTACAACTCTCATTAGATTTCATAAAAGAAGGTTTATGTCTATCACTTAGATTAACTTCAGAAACTTCAGTTACATTATTCCTTTATTTCTCTCTTTTTCAACTTGTGGTCGTTTATACATGCATTCATGTAATATTTTTCTTTGGGTCTTATTTTATATAGGATTTATATGAGTCTGATCACTCATGGAATATTATAAGTTTACGTTATTTTAATCCAGTCGGTGCACATTCCAGTGGATTAATTGGTGAAGATCCTAATGGAATTCCAAATAATCTAATGCCTTATGTAACTCAAGTGGCTAGTGGTTTGAGACCTAAAGTTAATGTTTATGGAAATGATTATCCAACTATTGATGGAACAGGTAATTGCATTATTCTGGTTAATTTAGAAATATAAATGTATCAACACAAAGTAGCTCTCTCATTTTGTAAATATGTTTCTAGAAGGCACTGTCAACTTATCAGCGAAGAAGACTAGTCAAAAAGTGTATTTGTTGATGTCATAATTGCATTTCACATTTAATAATGTTCACTGTAATATTGCATCATCCATTGTTCAGATTAATAGTCAATGATAGCGTATTGGTTACCATTACAAACTGGACTGGATTATGCGTCAGACAGTGGGAAACGAGAAGACAGGGATATCCTGGACCGACGTGAAGAACCTAGAAGACCTAGATTTCGCGGATGATTTATGTTTGATGTCACACAAAATCGAAGATTTACAAGCGAAAACCGACAAACTGGTCGAAGAAGCAGCAAAGACAGGACTCCAGGTGAACATAGACAAGACGGAGGTTATCAAAATAACCAACCAACAACAACAACAACAGCAGCAACATCCAGCGCCAATCACCATCAACGGGAAGGATTAGAAAGAGGTTACTTCATTCACTTATCTAGGGATAATTGTCTCAACTACAGGAGGAACGGACGAAGATGTCAAATCGAGAATCGGAAAGGCGGAAACACATTCATCAACCTGAAACCAATCTGGAAATCTTCGTCACTCATCATCAACAACAAAATTCGGATTTTCAATACAAACGTCAAGTCAGTCAGTTCTTCTATACGGATCAGAAACTTGGCGGGTCACAAAGAATATTTCCAACAGCCTGTAGTAGACCTTTATCAACAACTGTCTTCGCTCTATACTGAAGATCAGATGGCCGGAAAGAATCACCAACAAGAAACTATGGGAACAAGCAAACGAAACAAGAACCAATCGGTCAACAAATATGCAGAAGAAAGTGGAGATGGATTAGACACTCGCTGAGGAGACCGCTATGTGACATCGCGCGTCAGGCCAGTGCTCGAGTGAAACCGGAAAGGGAAGCGGTGAGTGGGACGTCGAAGGGTGACATGGAGGAGATCGTGTGAAGAGGAGTTGAAACAGTATGGACTAACATGGATGCAAGTGAAAATTATAGCAGAAGACAGAAACAAGTGGAGGCGTGCAGTTGAAGCCCTATGTTCCACTAGGAACCCAAGGGAACAATAATAATAATAATACAAACTAAAATTCAAACCAAATATCTTTAGATAACTATAATACCTTTTGAAAGAGAAAAAAAGTTTTATAACAAAGTGTTAACAGTTTCTTTAAATTATTTTCATTAATATTACTCTTGTACAACTTACCCAATCTGCTACAGTAAAGTTGGCTTAATTTTCAAGTTGATGTATCCAACCACCTATCGTTCACATCACCAGTGTTAATGTGAAATACTTGAATTTTTTTTCTTACTAAAATTAATTCGATGGTGTATTACAATTTATTTGCTGTTACTGCTGATGAATTTTTTTTAACAAAGTAATGACTGTAAATCACTTCTCCTTTACACTATCTTGATCGTTTTCTCTCTGTTTCCAACGATCTAGGTGTTCGTGATTATATTCATATTGTTGATTTGGCTGTAGCACATACTATGTCATTAAATAAAATAAAACAGAATTGTGGTTTAAAGGTATGTAGCCCATATATAATACATTTCGTATTATAATAATATTAGAAAGTGTATCTATGTTTTGGTGCAATTGTCCTCTCCGAGTTGGATGGTTTATTCCCAAAGCTTTCATAGTCTCTCTAGGCAACATCTTCAACTGGGACTTCAATATGAAGTGAGTTTCTTTGTCACATGGCAAAAATTCAGATTCTAAGTCATTGGAACGGTCGAAACAAATGCAAATTAACAACCAGCTGCAACCAAGATCATCAATGGAGACAATTATATCATTCATGAGGAATTCAAAAAGCTCATGTCATGCTGAAGATTTCTAGAAAGACAATGAAAGCTTCGCAATTATTTCATCCGTGTCAGAGAACATAACCACACCGATAGCCGCCACCCACCTCTAATACAAATCTTCCTTATCGTGTCTGTGTATATATTCAAACATACTTAAGATATGATTACAGTATCTGTGATGTAAGAAATACACGAAGAAGAAGTTACAGTCACTTGTAGATTCTTGCGTGACTTTAATAATACGTGGTGTTATTCGTTCCTCTTCAAATGTTTTGTGTATGTATGAATGTTTGTTTTGTACATCTTGGAAACACTTCGACAGTTTATATTTATAGTAATAGTTAGTGCAATCTATCCATTTAGAATTAATTTCATCAATTAATTAATTAATCAATGAAAATAAAGACAAATGAATCAGTTAAAGCTAGGATCCACTGTCTAGCATCTGCTATAGTCAAGTAAATTTTCCAGAAAATTTCTCAACGGATTACATCTCTTAACTAATGTATTCTTTTGAAATATATTTTAGTATGTTTTATCATACTTATAATATCATTTTATGAAACTGTCTTGATGGTAGAGTTCAATATGAATAATGTTTGTTTTCATAAATAAATAATAGTACTTACATTACTACTGAATTTACTAATAAAATTAATTTAATTAGATATATAACTTGGGAACAGGTGAAGGACATTCTGTATTAGAAATGATTCATGCTATGGAGAAAGCAAGTGGCAAAAAGATTCCTTACACATTTTGTCCAAGGCGACCTGGTGATTGTGCAAGTGTTTACTCTGATGCGTCTTTGGCCCTACAAGAATTAGGATGGAAATCAAAATATGGAATTGACGTGAGTCAGACGAGTTATATATGTATAATGCATAAAACATGTTTTATCATTAATTAATTGATGTATTCATTGTCGAGCTTTCTATTTCGTAATGATGTCGGAGTAATCACACAACCGTATGATTATGTTCGATAAATTGTACTGGAAACGTTTCCCACTAAATAATTCTGTCTCACTGTATTTACCAAATAAACAAACTGACATGGAATCATACGCCATCACAGTGTCCTGATTTCACCCTTATATGAACTCCTTAATAATCCTGTAATAATGGAAGCAATAACTGTAAAATCTAGGTTAATAATTTTTCTTGTCATTATTCATTAAGCAGTTATAGAAGGAGGAAGGAACTATTTTTTTGAAAACGATAATCATTTGCGCTTATGTCTTCTCTTTTTTTTGTTATATCCATGTTTTGTAGAAAATGTGTGAAGACATGTGGAATTGGCAAGTGAAAAATCCACAAGGTTATCTTACTCTTAATCATTCAAGTGATAAATAAATAAATGACATATTCTCAGGTATCTTTCAATACTTGTTTCTATCTTGTTTTTCACTTTCTGTTTTTCTTGTTTGATTTTAAATAATTTCATGTCACTGTTTTTTAAAGCAACTGTGTTTTGTATACTTTTCCGAATCAAATTCGTCTCGCTATTTTTCGTATTTTAATTTTATTTATAAATAAACAGTTTGTGATATTTTGGCTGGCATTTTTATTCTCCTTTTTTGGCTAGGTGCTTTGGTGTGAGTGAAGTGAAATCATTTCTAAACGTACATATGTGGTGGTTAGGTGGCACTACATAACTGTTTCCATGTTTCTGGCTTGAATTCAATGGACTAAGTAACCAATTTGTTGTAGTACTTTTGAGTAAATGTTTGCTGATTAGCCTTTCGAAAATTCGAGCAATTTTTGATGTTTCACAGTTAGGAACTGCAAGCGATCATTGTAGGTCAGGTAATATTCTTCTTGTTCACTATCAAACTTCGATGAAGACTGTGACGTATAGTCCCCCTTCAATGCTATGTTAAAGACTGAAAAGCCATTACAAGGGGAGTTATTAGTGTAAGCCTAAGAGAAACCACGGGAATTTGTTAGTATAGGTCTACTCTAATGGAATGACATTCAGTCACTGGTTTAGTCACTCTTAAGTCTCAAAAGGTTGCTTAAGCGGTTCAAACCTGTTATATGTGGATTCGAAGCTCAACTTGGTTCTCATTGTAACAGGCAGTCTAGATAAAATTGCAAAGTATGAGGTCGGTGTCTATTCTGTAACCGGCTTCATGTATGTACAGCTGCAGGATTTAAAGACAGGAATTTTTCTCGTGCTGTGTGGAATCTACGTGTCGTCTTACTTTGGTTTCAATAACGCCTACGACTCTAACCGTTTGGAGAATGTTCAGAAAGGGATGACGGCAGTCATGGATCTGCGCAGTTGTAGGGGACCAAAGAAATTCGTCATTTCAATTGAATCTCAGCCATTTCTCTTCCAGCGGTCAATTTGTTTGTCCGTGTTAATTTAATCATAATGCGGACAGTTGAATATTCAAGGGACAAAAGCGCGGCTGCTACCTTGTAGTGTCATTGTGTATCCCTATATTTGTTTCTACTGTCGTCAATAAATGTTCTCTTGAACTGCCATAAGTATTATATTCTCCCTTCACTTTTGGAGTGTTAAGAACACCAGACTAAGTAGTCAGAAGGTAGCGTGGTCAAAGCGCAGATCTAGCAGCCTAGATGGTTACACAAAAATAATGAGCTATATTTCTTGTTGAAGCCAACTGGAGAGGAGCTGGATGTCTTTTAAGCAGCGTAACCAACTGGCTTCCCAGACAGTAAGCTCTTTGGTGACAGACTACGATGATCAGGATCTTAAGGACGAAATTGTCACCAAGTAAGCATTGAACTAAAAACTGACTGCGTGATAGGAATGAGCCAGGGTAACTCGAACAAAGAGAATAGTTATGGGCTTCCTCTTGGCAACCCATAAGTTATTGTTCACGGAAGATCTGAACTTCAGTGTAATTCCCTTTTTTGTTTCAGGTTTTTGGTAACTTTAATGTGCTGTCGACAGCTGTAGTCACTTTGCGGTATCGAGATGTTGATGCAGCAACTCACGAACCGCTTTCAACTAACTGGCAAATGCAGCTTCCACACACTTTCTCTAACTACTTTAACTAATTGCATAAGTTCATTGTCTCATTTATCTTTATTTCTCCCTGCTATAATTCTTTGTATGGATCTTGTTTATTTAGTTTCTGATTATTGTCGCTATAGCTGTTATTAGTACTGTCATCCTTTTAACTATCATCTTTTTTCCTTTAATTAATTCATACCGCTGACTGGTGAAATGGCTGTCACCGACCATAATATCGTCAAGATCCTAACATAATTTGTGTGCCGTCATTAGAATTCGACGAGCCTCCTAGAAGCTACTGAAAACATTGACAACTCGTGAATTCACTAGAGATCAGGAAGTGGTCCTCATCGTCAGTAGACAATCATAAAGAAATCAATTCGCTCTACAATACTTTTAAAAAGGATTGCAAACATTGCATTGACTAGAATCAGCTCGCGGTTAGTATATTGACGTGTCTGAGAGTCTCTTTCTCATTAGGAATATAACCACCTACTGAAAGACGAAACTAGCTGACAGGACGAGTGAAATCCATCAGGACTGCACCGTATTAATTTATTCGGACAATTGTACACTAGGTCTGCCTGTCTCACACTCAATACCACTTCTTCCAAATTATTATACAATCAGGACTTGTGTATCAATTACTAGAATTCTGCTGAAACATTCCGATTACCAAAGATATATCTGAAAAAGCTTTATATGACAGTTTAATTACTCCATTACTACTCACCTGTTATTTTATAATTCTGAATATTCGTTTGCTAATATGAGAGATGAAGATAGGTTTCAAGATGATGTACGATTTCGCCGAACATATTTGTTTAACACCAGTAAGAATGTCTTATTGTGGTTGTGACAGCATCCTCCTACCAGAGATATCAGAAAAGCTTCCTAGAAACTAACTTGTCTGCTGCTGGAATCTGAACTCCAGAAGAGTTGTGAAGTGTGAATACGTTGACATGATCGTCATCAGTGAATTGTGCTCCGAACACCAAAAAGTTATGGATGCTGTGTCAGTGTGTAATACTACCAAAAAATGATGTAGAATTGTATTATAACACACTGCCTAAAATTCGTTATTGGGCACTACGGTATTCCATGTGGTTGGTCAGAATTAGTTGACTGTTAGAAGGCAGTAACAAAGTTGAATTTGCATGTTTCCCTCATGGAATTTGGCAGTGATGCGACTTCCTACTGGCTGAAGTCACTGTCACTCCGAGGGTTAGTAGCTTCAAGAGTACGTTAGAAGACTATATGAAAAACCAGAGTTCTGTCAGGAAAGCATTCTGCATCCAGGAGATTGTAATAGCACTGTACCAGCTTTATTAAGCACAATGTGCTCACGTACACACACGAAGTCAGGGCCTTTCCTAACTTGCATGTGCTGATAACTAAATAAAAATAATGTGTGCTCCGGAGACCAATATCTTTAAATAGAATAAGTGTTATGATTTTTTAATACTGCAGGATGGGGGGAGATCTCATTGCAGTGTTTAAAATGTTAAATAATGACTACGGACATGATCTGTTCCCTCTCTTCTTTCCCACCAGGTCGGAACACTCCAGATGACAGCAGGAGAGTTAAAAAGCCTGACTATACAGCTGTAGAGTACTAGTTCTCACACCGAATCATCAACTCCTGGAGCCGACCCCCAGAAAAAGTGGTGTCAACGTCCTCAATTTACCCATTCAATAAGGTTTCGATAAGCACAGAAATATATTAGAAAGAGATTAACATAGGCTGTAAGCTTTCTATCTGCAATCAACAAATATGAATGTGAAGATGTGTGTGTTGTTTAGCGAACTGGTGTTCGAGCCTGACTGAATACGTACTCGTTAAGACAAAACTTAATGTACCTTACCCATTCCTTTCTCCATACACATTCTATACGCAGTCCTTTCGCTCTATCTTTTTATCTGTATGTTCATTTAGTTCCCTTATTTCCTTTCTACTCACCTAACAACAGGTGAGGATAAACGTTATCGAGTTTTAAATTTACCTCGCTTCAAGTATTCTCGTCTTTCATTGGCTAGAACAGTGGCTGTCAACTGGATTTCTGACTCGTCTTAGGTAGGTGCCATCGTGTGCGGTTTTGTGTGGTTTGCAAGCAACTATGATGAATATAAATGTAACATTTGACTATTCTAGCATTGTTTCACTGTTTTTTATACAGATACAATGCTCTTTTCCTTATAAACCCCCTTGAAACTAGTTAGCCATTATGGTGGTTATCAGTGACTACGATCCCATGGATCCAAACGCATTTCTTGAGTTGTGGTTTTAGGTGAAGTATTTTCTACTTCGATATTTCTCACTCACATAGTCTGGTATCCTGCGTTTCCTGCGAATTGACTGTGACAAGCTGTGCTTCACTAACGAGCCCTTTTTCTGGAATTTCATCGAGGTAACTAGTGCGAGCGGAAGCAGTACGTGTGTAAGAAGCTGCGGACGCATTAGAAGACTTTTAAAAGGTGAGGACCTTAAATGTTGCTAACAGTGACAACCTTTTTCACATACCAGTATGTGGCTTAGTTCACATGCAAGTAGGAACTGACAGTAGATTATACCAAGCGTTATCATCAACCGGGTGGGCGGGTCTGCATGTGAGAGGATCATAAAAGGCTAAAGATGATTGTACGCCAGGCGTTATGCAACCTACAATCGATTTTGGGATCTGGAACGTAAAGAATACAATCAATTTCTTCGTAGTGTAATATCTGTGTTAGGATTTTAACTAAAAGGCAGAGTTCATTGGCAAATGGGAGCGAAGCGGGTGGAAACCTCGTTGCCCAGTTTACCGAAGAAATGTATGCGAGCAAACATTTAGGTCGAACGTCGTTTTATGTGCTTCCGATGGGTGACGAAGAAGGGTACAAAGTATGTTTTTTATTGTTCTGTTAATCCGTTCCACTGAACCGTTTCCTTGGGAGTGATAGGACGTAGTGTGAGTCAGTCAACTGACGAAGCATGACAGATCTGAGCAGTAAGTGGACTCTGAAAAGCAGCGCCTTGACCTGAATGTGTATAGAAAAGGCGCCAACACGAAACATCCATTTGTCAATCAGTGTGCGACAGATTGTCGTTGCATCAATGGAATAGCTTCACACAATTTGGTGAAGTAATAATCCATGACAAGGATTTATCATGACATTTTTTCCCACCAGGTGGTTGCCGGCTGCAGTTAGTATAGGCACTAAGGGTGCCCCTGGTATTTGCGGAGGCTGCTTGATTTGAGCACATGTATCGAGCATGAGAGATCGAGAAATCATACTCTTGCAGGTGCAGCATCCATCGTGACAACTTCCCACATGGGTCTCTGGCGGTTCTCAGCCACTGCAACGGCTTATGATCAGTCTCTACGTG